GTTTTTATAGTGGTAGTATAAAGATAGATATATATGTATACTTATATCACCAATTATAGATATATCTGAAATGTCTAAATGAGAGATATCTCCAGGAATACATGTAATTACCCCCCCCCCCCCCACACCCCCCCAAAAATCATACCCTAACCCGTGCATCCAATCGGATAATTCTATGGACATTCAGTCATCAATGTATAAAATTTAAAAACGCTCAATTGTTCGCGAGATCACTGGATGTGCGCTTAAACATTAAGATTTCGTAAATCTCGTAAAGATTCCAGGCTATAATGGTAGATTTTACTACATACGTTGTAGCTGCAACTTCATAGCGCTGTTGATCATTTATCGGAGAATATTCAGCGTGTAGCATGCGCTGTGGCAAAGGGCAAGAATGACGCAAGTAGAGGGAACTTTCCGATAGTGTCTGTGTCTGTGTCTGTGTCTGAGAACTTAATAATGAGCATACCGGGTCTTTTTGTTATATGAAGAAATGCTTGTTTGTAACTACTAACTAGTGGTTTCATGAGCTTCCTGTTATCTTTGAGTGTCATGGTTGGTGCGTAAATCATAGCAAGCAATTAGTCGAATAGTCTCAAATCTTATCGAGACCAACTGGTTGAATACTGGCACTGCTCGTCCTTCATTCAATCAGTGTTAAACTGTGATGAAATTTATGACAATAATTTTTTTTGATATCCCCAGAACCCATTTCCTTCATCTACTAACTAGGCACTTAACCAAGTCCCCCCTTTTATCCTCACATCACTTTCCCCCCTCTTCCTCACCATTTCCCTCTCACTATCATTCTCGTAATCCTCTCCTGCAAATACCACCGGTCGTCCATGATCAAACTCTTTACTAATCGTGGGCGCTGGACTGCTGACCGTTTCTGCCAACTCTAACGTTTGCATATCATCTGCATCATCGTGTTTGATGGAAATATCGGTTTGGATGCCGATTTTAAGGGCCATGCGATTCTTGGGTGGTAGATAGGTGTTGGGGAGAACGGAAACTTTGGCGATTAATTCGGCCATGGACATTTCGATGTTGAGTTTGACAATGTAGGCGAGAGGATGGAATTGCATGTATCTGGTTATGGTGTTAGTTTTGAGTCTGTGGGACAAATTACAGGATGAAAGGAAAGAGACAAAAGACGCGGAACACTTAAGGACTGGGGTAACCTACACAAAAGAGTTCTTCAAACTCATCATTCCGATAATTAACGCATCCATACTCAAGGAAAATACCACCAACACAGCATTAAACTTAATCAAGGTCTTGTATTTTTGCAAGCCATTGCCCACAAGCTTGCTGTATACCGTTTTCATAAAATACAGATTTAATAAAGCATCCACCAACAGATAAATACTTTTCTCGCAACGATCCCAAACGTCATTGATGTGAATAAATCTTTCTGAAACTTGTAGTCTGGCCGGAATCCAAATGCAATAGACCGAAATGTTGATAAGTGTGATGATCACTGCGACGGCGATTTTGAGATGAACTGCTTTTTTTTTGACGGTGAAGAGAATGCTAATTCGATTTACTATAATCTGGAGGAGAAATTGAACTTGTAGTGCCCAGAGAGTGAGAATGCAGAAAAAGAATGCGAAACTAAATTATGTTAGAGGGAGATAACAAATCTTAAACGCTGGAAGGTATACCTTGGGGGAACAATTTCAGCATCATACAAATGAATCCAGCATATGATTGCGAATGCCAAACATACGGCGAGTTCAGACCATATCATTACCACATATGGAGTATGAACTCGAGTGATTCCATAGCGTTGTCTAACTCTTCTTGTTTGTTTATATGCCGTCCATGCTGTCAACCATCCAAAACCAAGAGTCCATCCAAAAGCAATCGAAGCGATGGCTAAGTCAGCGCTTGTCGTAGGTTGGGCCACATAATTTGAAGAGAGCAATGTGAGCATAATGATGATTGATGTCGTGAAGCCTTCACCGAAGCTGGATCATCTCTGGGTGGGGCTCAATGCAATAATGAAATCAAATGAACGCCTAGAACGAAAAAAATAATGTAGAAACGAAAGGAGATAACGACAGTAATATAATAGGATTATCTCAGGGTAACGGACGTCGTTTGTAAATCGTGATACAAGGTCTAAAACTACTTTGTATAGAGTTCTTGAATCGAAATAGAAGTTTCTTTGAGATCGATTCAGGGACCAGATGTCAGAAATGATCAGCTAAAACTCTATTAATTACAATCAGTAATCGCATAGTGTTTGGTTTCTGGGTGTATACTATACCTATGAAGATTTTTATGAAACAGGGGCCAGGATGAAGCGACGCTCTGGGCCTTGGTTTAAAGTTCACCTCAAGAATATCCAGATCTCTGGGATTCGGATTATTTTCACTATTACACTCCTGCCATCACGCTACCATGCAAACTTTCGTTTCCATTGCATTGGGTAGCCCCCTTTTTGTTAGGGATTTCCCCGAAGGTAGATCCCCCGGGAACTTTAACAGGGAACTCTGAGAACATGTCCACTTGAATCTTAGAATATCATGTACCAATTGAAGATTCGTTCATCTGATAGACAGGCTATCCCAAGAAGTCAATTCTTTCAATTCCCTCCCAACTACCAGTGTGGCGTTGATCGTCGAGTATTTTGACAATCATGGACCGTTTTATGTAAAGAACCACTTTGCCATATTTCAATCATTTCCTCGGGGGTTAGTGAACTGCCTATCACTTCGTAATCTCTCAAATATTAATTGATTCCGATTCTTTATTTCCCGTTGCCAACAAGCGAGCTGGTTCTAAACAAGGCTGAATGACCTTCCGAGACGTTCTAGGAACAATCTCTTGCAAGTTACATGTTTCAATGTCGACGTTGTGCTAAGGGGAGTTGTAAAATGAACGGCCAATTCTCGTATAAGTCAAGGATGTTTGCTTGCTCGCATTGATAATGGCTTAGCGTATGTGTCGGAGAAATTTTCTAGCTTGCCAAGAGATCAGACTTGGGCAGAAAGTGGGTTGGTAAACGCAATGACCTTCAAGTTCACATACTGATATATCTCGCACCTTGAGAATTTTGCATGCGATTTGAATGATGAATGGAGATCTAATACTCGATTCTTGAACAATAACGAAATATCGATGAAAAATTCTTTACCTCCACTCTATTCACCCATAAGCATAACCGGGGAATGGGATTGACATTGAGCATGGATCGGGTGAAGGCCAATCATTTGTGAAGATCCAAACAAGACTCTCAATTGGATCAATCCAATAAAGTATAATTTTTTAGTAAGTACAGGCATGATGCTACTTACACAATCATGCGGAGGTTGACCAGTGTTCCGAGATCACACACATAGATTTCAAAGCAGCGTCTCAAGGACTCTACCTAATGCCTTCGGGTGGCAATCTATCGCGTGTTGGCCGACTGGATAAAAAATTCCATTCTTACATCCTAATTAAGCCCTCTTTGCTCCTCACTCTCCAGTGCAAACAAACAAATTCAGACGGATCCATAACCTTTCCTTCACCGGATGAAGAGCAGTCAAAAATCATCGCGATGAGTATCTTTCTTGATAATACAAAAAGTGTAAGGATTGCGAAGTAACACTTCAACCTTGTTACTTGCTGTCGCTCTATATACTTACGGACAACCAAATTGAGCGAGATATTTGTCGTTCCTCGGCTTCCTTTCAAGCCAATAATAACCAAGAGCCGAACTAGAAGCGGAGCTAGCCAGTAAATCAGAATAGCCGAAGTGGTCCAGCCGCCCCAGAGACGCTACCGGACGGCTCGCAACGTGGACTCCACACTTTTCCAAGGCACCTCAAAGTCTAATATATAACCAGAATTCGTGCCAAGCATTTTGATATTTGGTGACACAGTCTACCGAGTATTTATTGTTAGGTAAATTGCCAGCTGAATACCGAAAGAAAGCTTGGAGCATAATTTTTAATCTTAAAGTCTTGCATTACACAAGCCGAGATGTTGGACATCGATTTGACATGTCCCGTAGCTAAACCTTAATTATAAGGTTCGCAAGGCGATGATGTCTCGGATGTCTAGGTATACGGCGTAGGCAGTCAAAAGTTAGGGCGAGATTTTTTATGAATTGGGGTATCCTGGGCAACATTTTTGCATACAACGTAGGTTTGCGTCAACTATGACATACGAATTCTGCATGGAATTTTTCTATGCAATGCTACAATGTCGATGCTACAATACTCGTCACTGTAAGGACTAACGACTAGAAATGGCTTAGGCTCGGAGTACTCTATAAAAATCTAGACTCCGCGACGCACGAAAGCACATTTTGCAACCTAAGATTTACGTTTCATTTTTGCTCGTTGTGTTCGCAAGAAAGATTAAAAGATAATTAACGCAGTGGTTGGTTGGTTTATGTGTAATTGGAACTGAAACCTTTCTCGGCTTTCAGGATGCAAATGTCGAAATCCGTTCACGGTATTGAATCTCATTCTCTCGCGGAGCCTCGAGCAATTCCACACTGCTCAAATCAAATATGGATTGGAATTTGTAGTAAGCACTTTTGAAAGCGTTCTATTATGTTACTTAATGCACATTGCACTAGAACTTGGAAGCTTGATTACCTCTTCGTCTATACCTTCATCGTTCCAGAGTCGAATTTAATTCAGTGCAATTGGAGATTAATTAACCTGTTTCTTTGATTGCCTGTCCGTCTACACTAACCTCCACTTTTGCCATGGGAAGATACAAGTAATTTATCGCAGAATTAACTTATACACTCTATCGTTCTGCCACTTTCGATGCCGTTGTCAGATCCAAGAATTATTGGACATTGGGCCGAGGTTCTTGTGTTTTACTCATCTTTATTGATCCCATTACTCCGTACATAGAACATTCAGTTCACTCACGCTTCTCGATTTCATCCGAGATGACTGTATGAGACTCCGTTGATATGTATGTATGTATGACCGAAGTATCCGTGATTCTCATTACAGCCGTAAATATGGCTCATGCCATGTAATCGTTCACCAAACAAGTCTGTTCTTCCCAAATCTAGTTATCAATGGGAAATAAAATGTAGAGGAAAATACATCGACATTCAAAACCCCGACTCCCCTCTCTATCAAGATTCCTGACACATAATCTCTCAAAGTTATAGGCCAAGAAGGAGTATCCCAGTACCTGGCTTTCAAACCCTTCCCATTTGCTGCGCTAACTTGTTCACTAATTTTATTTAGCTGTGTTGAACTGAACTTCCATAGCCACAGTCTGCCAATGGCTTTTGACATCGAAACACTAGCATAGTAAGAGTTCGTATCATCGTAGAGAGAGTTTGCAATATCGTCTAAAGGAGCATCGAAGAATATATCGCGGTAGGTAGTATTGGAAATCAGTAGGTCAAAAGGAGCATTTCCGGAAGCGACAACTATAATTGGGGCCCAAGTGATCCCACTCGAGTCATTCCAGTGGGTAAGCCAGTTCTTGGCTCGGAGTTTCTCAAGCTGTCGATTTACATATGGCCAAAGGTCACTACCATCGGATTTAAAATCCAGAAAAAGTGTAACAGTAGTGTTTGGACTGGATTGAAAGATGCCAATCCAGTCATTTCCATCTGGATGGGTGGATCCATTATTGAAACTTTCAAGGATAGTAAATAAAGGTTCAATATATAGGCTTTGAAGTGTACGATCTTGTGCCAGCGACCATGAAGAATGGCCTACTAAAAGATCTTCGTTTCCAGGTTTTGTTGGAAGATATATGTCTGCTTCTACGCTAGTGCATCCAGCAGCCAAAGCTTCGAAAAGTGGGACAGTACGCCAATAATCGTTGTGTGAATGACATGCTATTGGCGTAATGCCTTCGGTAAAATCTGATTTCCAAGGAGAAAGCAAGCTGATAGAATCTTCAGGCTTTCGCCAATCATCTACTATGGAACTGACTTTGTTCGACGGAATTTGAGGTCTATGTCGATGAGGTAGGGTCAGAAGTAAAGACAACCATATCCTAAGCGACATATGATTAGAATTTGAGGTCTCCGAGAATCAAAAGCAATGAGCGAAGGTACTTACAAAGTAGCGATAACTCCGAGCACAATCATAATACCAACGATACGAAACCAACGTCTCCTAAAACCACCTTTATCATGATCGTGTTGTCTTTTTTCTTTTCCATTACCGCGGAGGAGGCCTTTCCAACTACCATTTCGATGACTAAAACTATCGTCTGATGAACATGAAGAGCGCTCTTCATTTTCCTTCAGCTCTGAACTTATTAGCTGTCGTGATCACTCTCGTTGTCACTGCTATACACACCGAATGGGTGATTCGACATATTGCCAGCTGAAATATCAAATGTTCTCAGCGATGCTAATGTAAAGACACAACCAAATTTTCGCCAATAAAGAGTTATATGAAGAATATAATTTGGAATTCATGAAATCTATCAATGTAAAAAAACAAAAATCTCGAAATCATCGATGGTGACGGGTTCCTTGTGAAAGAAGAGATATGTCTTGAAAGTACTTCATGTTCTTCTCTAAGGTATCAAAAATAGAACTATAGTGCCTGATAACTTTTGTCATTGTGCCTCTTGATAATTGTGTGACCTTAAAGCATTATCTACGTAGTTCTCCAAACTCCTATAGGATTAATCCTCTCATTCTCATCATCAGCTGTGAAGACTTGGCAAATATGAGCCAAAATGTCGAGTTTTTTGGAGGACGTTAAGATATGCTTATGAGTTACAAAATCGAAAAACCGCCTGAAGAGCTTTATTTGAAACAATAAGTAAGCTTATAAGAATTGCATATGTTGTGCAACATAAATGTCTGACCACCATCATTGTATCAACTTAGATATGGATCTTGAGTTGGGGTTATTCTTCAATCAACTAGGGTGGCGGTGTGCCTTATGGCGTAAATCCTACCCATCCAGTTATGCAAGACTCTGGCCCAGCCTTAAATCCCTCTACGTAAGTTGTACGGCCATAACTTCGCTTGACTATGCCGTGATTACTTGCTTACTCGCTGACAGGAATTTCGGGTGACACTCGCTTAAACAACCGAACTGCGAGGCTGAAACAAGGACTTGTGTAGAAGTACCGTATGACACTCGATTGATAAGTCAAATATACAGACATTGATAGATTTGAAAGTGAGCGGTGCTTTAGTTGCAGAAAATTCGTATCAAGATTTACCATCAATGAGGCAAGATCATAGTTTGGTATACGTAATTAGATATTCTTGGATTTGACAAATGTATTCTAGATGGACTTCAGGTCGCAATGACTGTTCTGACTTTGAGGTATACATGAAGAAATCATTATCCCAGGGATTTGGGTATTTTTGTCACAATGTTCTCGCAGATGATGATAAGAAAATGGAAAGCTATATAGAAAAAGGCAAGTGAGAGTTCAAGACCAAAATTTATGTGTAAATTTGTTGGATAAATCAAATTGAAGTAAAGATAATCGATACATAAACAAGCAACCAAGAGAATAAAGAGAAGTCTTTATTGAAACCACCCAGCCTGTCCATAGCCGCCCTAAGAAACCTTATGTGCCGTAACACATTGAAATACTCTCGCTCTACCCCACACACCTACAGAAAAACAAACTAGACGATATCTACCGACCATAAGCTCCCAAAGTGTATCCATAAGCATTCAAGCCTTCCACTCGATAGCAACCGCTCTTTCAACCAATTCCTCTTCAGGCATGTCCTCTTCAGTCAATTCCTCTTCAGTCAAATCCTCTTCAATCTCGTCTCTCTTACTAGCAGGTGCACCAGTTCCAGTACAATAATCGTCATTCTTATCACCGCCAACGCAACCGGCGGCGCAGAATTCGAGGAGCTTAATATCTCCGTGCTCGATGCAGGCCCAAAGGGATTGCTTTACATACAGGTCTGAGGTTGGAAGGTTGTTTGCAAGTAGATTTGTGTTGATCTTGGTGATATAGTCGCCTGTTTGAAAAAGTGTTAGTGTGAATAGTTTCATTTCTGGGACTGGTGAAAATTCTTGTGGTGATAGATGATGATAGAAATTGTCACTGACCTCTTTTGAGAAGGTAGGTACCACAGTAGATACCACCTGAGTTGCAGCTCTTAGCAGCGACAATGCTAGAGAGCACGGAAGCAAGAACGATAGTGATAGTAGATAATTGAACCATTTTGAAAATCTAGGATATGAAGATAGTGTTTGGAGTGAAAATTGATTGTTGGTTTTGTGCTTTGCGTTGGATTTGCAAGAGAGATGTTCTTGTTGTTGATGATGAGGATGAAATCGATCATCAGTGAAAAACAGTCTCTTATATATCTCTGCAGTGCAGTTGCCAAGCATATATGTAGGTCAAGAAGTTGATTGTCAAGCCTCAATGTCTAGAAACACAACCAAACTGGCTTAAATCCTATGAAGGGCTCGTCATTCACAAGAGCATAAAATGATACGTGCAGCCATCAGTTCATCTTGACAGTGATAGAAGTAATATTACATCAACGTGATTGCTGTCTAAGAATAATATGGTCTTGCCACCTCGGAGGATTTGCTCAAGGCCATAAGGGTGAAAATAGTAACACTTACACCCACGCAGGTAGATTGTACCTCATTTATCTGGAATCTTCACAGTGATTTGGTTAATGAGGCCGAATTCAGCTATAGCAAATACAGTGAGGTGTTTCGGCGAGGCTTAGGTAATGATAGCTCAATACATGCAAATGAGCCCTTTGAATTGTCGTCGTTTATTGCTAGGTAAACGATGATCTGGACGTCCCTTCTATTTCATACGTTCATTTCATTAATCTCTTGAAGCTAGGCTCCCGATACATTCATTCGATGAACTTTCAATGATGATTCGGATCAAAACTGATTACAATAAGGGAAACATTTTCCCGAGGGCATTTCCCTCTCACAAATTCTAATGGCATTGATACTTGTAGCATTACCACTGCAACTTGATTTTAAAAGCATTTTTATCGCGATTTTCTTCAATTACTTTAGTGACTAATGTTGAAGTAAAGTTCTAATTAGCCAAGATGGATTATTAGATGACTCGAAGTAGCTGAATGGAGGATTCGCACATCTTACATCCAATGCATTACGACACTGCTATTCTTATTCAATTCTCTTCCACATGATATATCCCTCACGAGCAAACAGTGCTTCTTCGATTTTGACATGTTAACTTCAGGCTTACCATGATTATATTGTTTTGAAACGAAGATAAATATTCAGGAGTGTTATCTCATGGCATCCTAGGAAGAGGCCTTGGATGTGTCAATTTCAATCAGTTCTTCAGAAGATATGCCTTGCCGTTTCAATAAGCACGAATCGTTTGTTCTCCAGGATATACGAAATAATCCGGGAGGTCTTGGCTTAAGCCATCCAAGGGGCACTGCAAGTCTTATCGTGGGACAATCCGTTTTGGTCAGCTGTTATGTTACACAATACGGCGTAAATCTCTATTTGTATTTTGTATCTACTCGGTAAGCTTACATGGCGTCATGATCCACAGCCTCCACAATCTCACAAAATGTCGAAGGTAGCATTTCCTGTGTCTCATGTTTTAAATTCATCGGATTTTGTAAGTATGAAACTCGGGAGTAACTAGCTTGCAGAAGTCTGCCGATTCTAAAAAATCATAAGGCGCTTTTGGAATGTTCGTAAAATTTGAAGTACGAGTTATATGTAAAGATGGATTCTCCGACAGAAATTTGACTCCGAATTCAACCAATGTTAGTCTAATCTACAGTTTCAATACTCCGAGATAGCTTCTCACTGGCGTTGTCGTTTTGCACAGCTGAGCCCCGCAATCTTAATATCTCTCAAGTATTGTGTAATTGTAGTTCTTGCAATTCTCGCTAAACTTCATAGGTAATAGTTCGAGGGGATAATTCGAGGTAATCTTGGAACGCACGCATTTTGGATTGATATCTGATATACCACAATCCATTTAATCTTGATTCGCGACCGTGAATCCTCCAAAAGTCCACCACTAGTCCAAATAACATGAAAACAACTTCGCCAAGAAGAATTTTCAGACTCTTTTAACCGCAGCAGGCAGTGTGGAAGTATGAAACATCAATCATTAATTCCCTCCTTTCGAAATATCTGTTTGTCTCTCTCTCGAAGAGGAAGCTATCCGAGCAGGCGTCTACGCACCATCCACAGATCTCTTTTCAGTTCTTCTTTCCAACGGCCCAGCATACATCAATCGCCAATTTGGCAAACGTGGTACACCCATCGTATTAGCATGTATGACTAAACAGCCGCTTGGGCTTTTGAAGTTCTTGTTGAAGGCAGGCGCCGATCCAGCCCAGAACCCAGATTGTGCTCTTCCTCCGTTGATAAGTGCAGCAGGATTCTATATCGACACTAGAGTTCCAGAGCCTTTGTTAAAATATGGTGCAAACGTGGAGGACTTTGATCGGGCGATTGAGACAGCGTTTAAGTGGGAAACAAACCCATGGCTCGGTTTCTCACGGAGCGCAAAGAGGAATCTGAGGCGAGAAGGTAAAATATATATAAAATAACCAAGAGGTCGCTCATTTTCTTTTCCGCATCAGAATCGAAGAACACATAAATCTAATCTAAACCACATAAAACTATACAATCTAAATATCATTTCCCACAATATGAACAAATTGAACAAACTTATAACAAGAAATCTCCCCACCTTGTTGATAAAGTGACCTCCCGAGTCGGAGAAAAACTGTCATTTCACGTGACCTGTGAGAATTCACGGAAACGGGGGGGGGGGGGGGGGGGGGTGGATCTGCACTAGGTAAGATCTTATTTACCGATACCCTTCATCAAATCGTATCGGAACTCAACTGTATCTAGATAGCACTCAATAAGAACTCATAACAAAATCTGACTAAGAATCAACTAATAAGTGCCCCTAAGTTAAGTATTGCCTACATTCTATTGGTCATATCGCGGTTAATGTTCTTTATCACGACGTTCTCTTTGGCGCTTCATAGAACGAGATGCAGATTATTATGGGACATTATATCATGCTTTCAATGTATTTCAGTTGCATTGCCCCTATTCCACTTAGTCCCGAGATGTGCGGCGATGGCTATAAAGGTCGGGAGCCAGTCTAATCGATAACCTCTCTTTTCTCATCTATTCAACATTTATTCACAATAGCACGCAACTAATTCTGCTAAAACTGCAATCATGGCTCATCATGTATCAACCATCAGCATCTTTGTTGCACTTGCTATCTCGTTAGCGACAGCGTCTGTTTTGCCAAAGAATAGTCAACTCAGTAATTCGACTAAACAATGGACGTTCGATAAAGTAATGTACCTCCCATTATCCCATTCCTAGACAGAAACAACCATCAGGCCAATTTTTATTAATTTATCATATTCTAGATTCCAGCTTCAACCGATCTCATCTGGTATCCATGCTTTTCGAATTATTCCTGCGCCATGTTGAGTGTGAACAACCCCCTAAAAACGAAACTCTAAGTCCCGGAAGTTGACATTTTAAACTGCAGGTTCCTCTTGATTATTCCAAACCAAACGGAACGCGTGCTTCGATTCCATTGATCATGATAGCCGCCCAGAGTAACTCAACTGATGGCTCGTATCAAGGAATGCTCCTCACTAATCCAGGTATGCTTCTCATTCCTTTACTTCTCATCTTTTCAATTCATGACTGATGTTTCTAGGTGGCCCTGGTAACGCAGGTGTTGATTTTCTCCTCGAAGATGGATACTCAGTTCTACTTCCGGTAGTAGGAACAAACTATGACATTGTAGCGTTTGATCCCAGAGGAATGGGTCGTAGTATTCCGCTCGCCGATTGCTCATCTTCCAGTTCATCCAAACTTCGTCGACGGAATTTCGGGCTTTCGGGACCGGAATTGGATAGTTCCTATTGGATTTCGGAGTTTCAAACTGCAATGGGCTTCGGATCGGAATGTAATGCAACAATGGGAGGACCTGATGAGGCTGGGCCACATATGTCTACAGCGGTTCTTGCTACGGATATGCTTACTATTGTTGATGCTTTTGCCATGACTGACCGTGGTCAAGGTGTCAACTCATCATCTTTGCTCAACTATTGGGGTTTTAGTTATGGGTCTTTCATTGGTGAAACATTTGCGTCAATGTACCCAGACCGAGTTGGCCGTGTTGCAATTGATGGTATGTTGGATATGAGCTTCCAGATTTCCAGCACTAATTTATCTCAGGTGTTGTCGATCCCGAGGATTACATTTCCGGAACTGAACTAAAGGATATTTACTTAGAGGATGCCGTTATTGACTCTTTCTTCACATATTGTCATTTTGCCGGCCCTTCACTCTGTGATTTCTACACAGGTAACAGCTCTAAAGACATCCGTAATCGCTTCGAGAACATTTTCCTTCCACTCAACGCATCATACGCTTTCTCCCAAAATTGGACAAATGCAACCACCATTCAGGAATCTCTCGTATCTATTAAATCCACAGTCAGATTGACAGCCTATACACCTATTGATTCTTTTCCCATCCTAGCTACCCAGCTCGTGGCGTACGAAGTTGCTCTTTCAAATTTGACCCTCCCCGCAATCGAAGCTGCAAGTAATATTGGCGCCACAACAGCCAATATTATAGGCACTGTTCCTCAACTAACCGAATGGTTTATTGGTGCATTTTGTGGTGAAATTCCTTCAGTCTATGGAAAGACATACGAAGAACTCAAATCACATATCGACACGATCGAAGAAGAAAGCTTCTTGACTGGAGAAATATGGGCTACGACTTTAGTGCTATGTTCAGGATGGCCTATCACTGCATCTTGGAGATTTGCTGGCAAGTAGAAATGTCTTACTTGATCAATTTTGACTAATTACCATAGGTCCTTTTGGCGGTGATACAAAGAATCCCATTTTGTTCATCAGTAATACTCTCGATCCAGCCACCCTATTGCGAAGTGAGTTCACTCTTTTTCTCCGATGTTGTTGCAATATTAATCGGCATCTTTTTACAGTAGTCAAAAATGGGCACCGGAATTCAAAGATGCTCAAATTCTCACAATAGAAGCTATCGGTGTAGGTCTTTCCAACCTTTCTCCATATTAGATTCCTCTAATTGTTATAGCACACTTCGATGGTGGCCAACAATTCTTGTGCAAATGAGAAGATTTATCGTTTCTTTCAAACGGGGAATCTACCAGGCCATGATTCAAGATGCGTTGTAGAAGCTGGACCTTTTGGTGTTACTCCTGAGAGTTCAGTTGTTGTAGAAGAAGATAATTGTTAGACTAAAAGTTGCAAGATTGTTAGTGGAAGTTCTCAGGTCTTTTGATAGTTGATCTGAGTCCCCATTCAGATCTTCAAAATTGGGGAAAAGAATAAAGAGCGACCATCTCCTTGTCTTTTCATCAGTAGCAGCATACCACCTAACCAGTAGCAATATACTTCGCTTCATTTTATGATATATCTTACCTGACATTCAAAAGTCTGGCCCATTGTCAGTTGAAACGGCTGATGATATAAATTTTACTCTTTTCGTCATGAAGATATCATCTCAGAAATCCAGCATCATAATGTGTATTCCACAAATCTACAAATCCGAATATCCTATCGTCCATCCACACCCACAATCACATCCAGCACTCAACCAGATAACTCTCTAATTCCGCCTCAAATACCTTCAGAATTCCCACTGATACCCACATCCACTCGTGCTAGCATACCCTTGAAACCTCATCTCTGCATCCGCTATCGCTTTATCTCTCTCAGAACAATTGCTATAGACCTCCTTACGCTGTACACACACACAATCCCTATAATCAAAAATCTTCGGCGTATAAGACAGCGTGGTCCTACAATAACCAGTAAGATGAACCCGATTAAAAGTTCTCTCCAATCTCTCTCCATCCTTATCCGCCGCCCTTCTGCTCTCCCTTTTGATGTCACCCTCACCACACCATCCCACTCCCTCTCCACTCAAGCCCCCATACCCTCTAAACCCACCCAAAGCAACTTTTTCAATACTATCCCAGAATCCAAAAATTCCCATCAAAAAGAACGGCGCAAGATGTGCTCCCCCTAAAACACGCACATCCTCTCCTGAATGTCCCTTCGCTAACTCTCTATTCATATATCTCCACCACCTCGCACCCCTCTCCCACTTCTCACTCGCAATTTCATGCTCTGTCTTCGCAATCTTCGGCAATATCAGCTTATGAAAAGGTTCCATCTCATAGAGTCCCGTTTCCGCGCTCTTGACTTCCATTTCGTAATTCTCGCATCGAAATTCATCATCTCCTTTGCCTATCGCTTTGAAAGTCGTGTCCCATGATTTCCAGCTCTGTGTGGAGAACATGTCGGAATGTTCTTGTTGGAGAGCAAGAATGAAGAGATGATATTGAGTTATGAGTTTTATGTCGGCGTGGGGTTTGTCGAGACAGAATGCATGGGTGCAATCGGAGGGGTCGTAGACACCGATTCTGCAGGCGTTTTCGGGGAGGGAAAGGAAATTGCGGATTTGGAGGAGGGCGATTTGAATGTGTTGTTGGATAGAGATGGGATCTTTGAAGGAGGCTAGAAGAGAGAGAACGAGATGTGTGTGAGCGATGACTAGTTGGTAGTCAGTAGGTGGAGAAGTAAGAAAACGGGCAGTGGAAGAATATTCAATAGGATGAAAGAATGGAAAACAAAATCAACAAAGATAGTCATAGACTGAAGAATGACAAATCAAAGTCTTCATTAACATAATAAGCTTTCCAACTCACAAAGATATCCATGTTCCTTAATTTGAAAAAGCAAATCATTACATTTCTGATAGCAAACCGCTGCTTGCTGTGTATCATACGAGAGCTTATATGCAGCGTTGATCTGATGCATTGGTCAGTATTACTATCACGAATTCATTTCCCTTGCTCATCTCAGACCTACAAACAATACACAGGTCGAAAAGTCGAGATGAAAGATTAGACATGAATAGCTGATGGAAAACTTACTTCTTCAACCATACCGATATAATCGATCACTGGCCATTGCGTCTGCATCCTGAGTATTTTGAGCCGATAGACGCACTTTGGTTGAATGCTAGACGGCGTTTGTATTCGCATCTAGATTTTTCTGTTGTTAGGGCGTTTTATATTAATATGGATGACAAAGGGATGATCAATATCTCAAGGGCAAGTAGATGAGCGAGTGGGAGATTTCCTAGTGTTAAATAGAATTGGTAGCCTTGTATGTACGGAAGCATCATTATGAAGGCTTGAGTGAATCAACCTTAAGTATTACCGAGGAGGGGTGGTTGATCAATATGTAAATTGTGAAAGTGAATATGGACAAGGCGGAAGTTACTGACCCGGAGATTGAAAAACATCAGACGAGAGCCCGTATGCTTGACGAATAATGTCGTCTCTTCTTGAATGCCAACTTCGGTGGCTTTGCTATTAGCAAGATTCATACTCTACCCTTCCTGATCATTCCTCCCGTGAAAGTTCAACGCTTTGATATCAAATTCCTCTCTCCCTATCTTCGCTTAGTTCTGCAATACAACTTCTACCCTTCTGCAAGTCTCCTCCACCACTTAAAGACAGATTTCCATTTCACTTTTCTTCTCAGCGTTCAACAAGTATGGGAATCGATCACATTCAAAATATGATAGAACGATGAGAGGATAGAAAGTAGATAGTCAACTAGTTGTCGAGCAATTTGTTCTTTTTGGAGCCTCAAGAATCCCTGCCATAAGGAAATTACAAGAGGAAAAGAAGTAGAAATGAGTGGAGGGTATTGAGACAGGGCGAGATCACAGCGGTCACAAACTGGCACTGATTAGTGTAATGAGATTTATTGTGTTTTTCATTTCTGTAGTGAACTCTTATATCTAAAACAAATTGTACCAAGGCTATGTTCATACGTGTATGAGACATTGATTTACTTATGTGTAATTCCCTCCACAGGAATTCTGTCAGCACCTGCTTCCTCCACGACAGTATGAACGTTTACTTCCTCCTTCATGAATGGGAAGGTCAAAACCTCCTTAATACTGTAGTTATCGGTTAAGAACATGACCAGACGATCAATTCCCATACCCCAACCAGCTGTTGGTGGTAAACCAAACTCTAGTGCTCTGACGAAGTTCTCATCGATCATTTGAGCTTCATCGTCACCTTGATCCTTTTGTCTAGCTTGCTCTTCGAATCTGAGACGTTGCTCAAATGGATCATTCAACTCAGTATATGCGTTAACAATCTCCTTCTTGCAAACAAATGCCTCGAAACGTTCACACAAACCAGGCTTGCTACGGTGGTGCTTGGCGAGTGGTGACATCATCTTTGGGTGCTCAGTGATGAAAGTTGGGTTAATGCAGGTTTCTTCGATAAATTCACCAACAAGCTTATCAAGCATACGGGCGTTTGTGAGAGGAGGTGAGCACTCAACCTTCATCTTCTTGAGGACTCTCTTGAAGAATTCATTGGATTCGTCAGTGTGCAACTCATCCGCAGGTGGGAACTTCTCTCCGGTTGCTTCCTCGAGAGCTGGAATCATCTCAATACGCTTCCAAGGGGCAGCCCAGTTGACTTCATATTCTTCTCCGTGTTGAGTGTGGAATTTGGTTGTAGTGCTTCCAGTAATGTGCTTAACAAGACCAGAAACTAACTCTTCGGTCATATCCATGGTATCATAAACATCGGCATATGCCATATAGAACTCACAGGTTGTGAATTCAGGGTTGTGTGTAAGATCGATACCTTCGTTACGGAATTGACGTCCCATCTCGTAAACACGGTTCATACCACCAACGACAAGCATCTTAAGGTAAAGTTCTGGAGCAATACGCATGAACATGTCCATGTTAAGGTCATTGTGGTGAGTCTTGAATGGCTTGGCTGTGGCACCTCCAGCAATTGAATTCATCATAGGAGTCTCCACTTCCTTGAAATCCCTCGAGTTGAAGTAATTGCGAATATATGCAGTTATGTCGGAACGAGTCATGAGAACCTTTCGGCTAGTGTCATTCATGATCAAATCAAGATATCTCTGGCGATGTCTCTTTTCGTGATCTTTGAATCCGTAGTACTCATCTGGAAGTTGTTGTACACAAGGGGTGAGCAAAATAATCTCTGTCGCAAAGATCGAAAGTTCTCCCTCTTCTCCCTTTTCAATCTTATTCTTTGGTGCAGTTCGACCTGGGTATCCAACAATACCAATAACATCTCCACGACGTAAAGGTTCATGCTGGCTTTCAAACGCTGGGGCTCCTTCTCTAGACTCCTGGAGTTGGCACATAACTTGAATCTTGGTATCCTCAGACTTGACATCGTAGAAGACAAGCTTGTTTCCCGAAGCACGCTTATTGTAGATTCTGGCTCCGAGGCGGATCTCCACGTCTTTCTTGTGCTCTCCCGACTTCAAATGACCGAAATCCTTGGCGAAGTTCTGCAAGTTATAGTTCTGCTGGAATTTGTGTACATATGGGTCGGGGGAGTTGGCTTCTTGCTTGTTGTATGCTGCTTGCATCTTCTTGATTTGTCGCGAACGAATCTCGAAGTATTGCTACGAATCAATTGTTAGTCAAGATTCAAATTCGAAACCCCGAGAGATAAATACTCTTGGATCCAGATCCTTCTCCTCAGCTTCAGCATTACTCTTCTTGACCGCGGCTGGTCTTGCTGGAAGAGCAGCAGCTTTCTTTGCCTTCTCTTCTTCCTTTTGTCTTTGCTTCTGTCTCTTCTTCAATTCGGTCTTGGAGACCATCTCCCCAGTGACCTCATCGAGTAGCTTAGCTACGCTTTCCGTTGGTGCCGACATGATTGCGGTTTATACAATTGTGTTGTGAATGAACAAAACAATGGTAAAAAGGTAAAGGGAGGTCGTCGATTTATTTACAAAAATTATGGTGGGATGAATTTGGCGGGGTTGAGTCACTTGTTAGTGTGACTCGCTAGCGTGTAGACATGAGTCCGATTTATAGCGGCGGGATGAACCACAAGCTAAAGTGGCATTAAACAACAATAAATCAATTGGACCATCGGGCTAATCTAGCTAATTTAAGTTACATGATAAATAAACGTTATAGCGGCATCGTGGCTGATGGCTAATGGCTACGGCGGCTCTAGATAATATCTACAGTTTGAAATAAGATCGTAGATCAAATTTATGTACTCACGCCTTGATGTAAACATGATAAGGGCGACATCAGTATCAAAATTCAGCACCTCTTTCAAAATCTCACGACTAATCGGATCATCATTATCTGAAGATAATATCTTTGGATCTATTTTTCAGACTTGAAACTGACCGACCACATCAATTTCATCATATTTAAACTATTTCGTTGCCATCATAAAGTGTTGAAATAGTTATGATACTTCAATTTTGGTGAGCCTGATTATTGTTATTACCTACTCACATCGAGTCAATTCCATTCTTCTTCCGAACTTGAAGGGTATATGACTGAAGGAATTAGATATGATAAGTATCTGTTCAACAGGTATGAATAACAATACCAAAGAGCGCTGTAAAATAAAGTCTCTTAGCAATATAATACATCCATTGTCGACAGATAGATCATTTTGAGACTTTGGCCAAGACTCAAATTTACCCTTCTCATTCTATATCTCTCTTCCAAGGAGAAATGAAGCTCGCTTTTCCGTTCTCTCATTCCTATCTCTGTTGTAAAAACACACTATTCTATCATTGCAAGAGCAAGCACTTAGTGTTCTTTTGCTCTTTTGATATCATGTCTCGATTTATGGACAATTGCAAAGATATTTAAAGTAAAAACTAGCCATTCGCCTGATTCCATGGGTATCACGCGCTGGATGAACAACCCATATTCCCAAATCAAAAACGTACCAATTCGTAAGACAAACCCACCCCTCATTTCTCCCCTTCACATTACATACCACGCCTCTATGTCATATATCCTACACCTCGGACCATAGTTGCTATTATATCCTCCCTATCGCTCACTGCAACACACCCTTCCACTCATTGATCAATCTCGCTAAGATTTCTCAAGAACTTAATCCTCGCATGAATTCTCTCATCGCCATGTTTTTCCCTAACTCTCTCATACTCTTTGCCTTTTCTCCTCTCTAACGCATCATCATCTCTTTGAGTCCAGACTCCTGCTAAATCGTCCGGGATCCCGTGTCCCATTTGCAACTGGTTCATAACCGGACTTGCAATATCAAAGTCATAAGTTGATGCCATTAGAGCGTCGTAGATAATATCTTCGGAATAGCCAAGGGCAATATATTTAGCGAGCTCAATATCAACGATGTCCTGTGAATCTGCTTCCGCTTCCGACTCTGCAGATGAATCTCGAGATAAGTCAATGATCGGGCCTGGGGTCCTCTTCCTCCGGACTGGAGTTGGAGATACTGGTGGGGCTTGATTATCAATGTCTGGGTAATAGAAGTCTTGCGTCTCTGGCTCAACTGTGAGATTTTTCGCTGAAGCTTTCCGAATCAATTCTCGTGGTTTCTTTTGCTGGATACGAAGAATTCTTTCTCGAGCTTCACGATCGCTATCATCCTCACTGCTACCACCATTATCATTCTCGTTGATTTGGTATTTGAGCGGCGATATGTGACGGGGTGGCTGTGTAGCATTGAAAATATGTTCTGGGGTCGATGGAATCTCTACCTCTTTACCTTTACCCTTATCGGCTCTAATACGCTTAGCTTTACGCTTAGGATTAATTTCTGAAGATTCGCTAAGGTTGGATAATCCATCGGAGCCAATCGCACGCTTCTTGGTTGACATAGTTGAAAATTGCTTAGAATTTTTCAATGGTGGTAGTTCTATAACTTCATCATCATCCTCTACATCCCTTTCGTGACCAGAGAATCTTTGAACACTGCGTATGGTTGTATCAGCAAGCTGTGAAGCTATCAAAGTCTCGTCTTGCGAGGCTGCGAACATAAGGATACTCTGCGGATCATTCTCTTCTTCGGTTACAACTCTTTCGAATTCGGATAGAATTTCGTCATAACAGCTCTTCAAATCTTGCGCAGCCTCGGAACGGTTGGCAATAGGGAAGCTTAATTTATCAGCTACCTCTTGCCATTGACTTTCGGCGTTTATCGTTTCAAAGCCGCCAAATACTATAACGATTTGCCAAAGTCTGAAGAGGGAAATTTGTTTTCCACGAATTCTGGGATTAAAAATTGGTTCTTCCTGATCCTCTTCACAGAATTGTTTCAAGGTTAGCGTGAAGTAGTCCTCTTCGGTCGTCAGCGAATTCATAAAAGGCCTTCGTTCCAAATCAAATTCCTGCGGTGCTGCCTCTGGTATCTTTGGTTCTTGATCGACTTTTGGTTTAGCATTGCGAGAAGGTGTAACAGAATTTCGAGCAGTGGTTTTTACCAAGGCTTCTTTAGACTGGGGCGTAGAATTCTTCGTTTTTGCGTTTATTTCTGGTGTGCTTAAGTTTGAATCGCTTCTTTGTTTAACATTGCCAGAGGACGTAACCGAGCTTTCAATAGCAGTTTCTGGTGAGGTTTTCTTCTGCTTGTAGGGAGAATGCTTTGTTCGTGTCGAGACTTCGGATGTCTTTGGTTTTGGATCAACTCTTGATTCTGCATTGTGGGCCATAGCGGAGCTTCTGGCAGTAGTTTTCATTGATGTTCTCTCCGGCTTTTTAGTAGAATTATTCGTTTGCGTCGAATCTTTGGTACTTCCACCACTTGGGGGATCAGAAACTTGCCGAATCGATGGAGATGATACAGACTCAACAGTTGTCTTTTTCCTATTTTTCATCTCTCGGGGGCGAAAATCTTCATGGAAATAGTTTCGCCATTCTTGAGCTGAATGGCGTCCATACTGTATATCTTCATATAAGCGGGGTTTCGTATAGCTTAATAGGTGTCGAGCTTACCTCTTCGGTCCACAACTCCCAAGCCTCAATTTCTTTGGATGAATCTATGTTACAAATAGCCTCAAATACATCTCGTAAAAGATCGTCATCCTCCTTTGTAAAAAGTCCTCCAACCACAACCTTTTCTATCTCCGCCTCGGGGATGAGGCCCTTGAGACTATTGGTCGAGGTGGTTGAGGCGGCGGTCGAGAGCTCGTGTGTTTTGGCGGAGCTGATGAGGCAAGAACCGGGGCTGTTCCACTCGGCACCGCAGATTGTGCGCGTTCATGAGAAACTCTTGTTGCAAGAGGCTTAGCTAGTCCCTTTTTAGCATATTTTGGTTCCCTGCTGGGACATGGTAAATTGTCATCGCGCTTATAATGTAAATTTCCCGCCTCATAACTGGGCAGAAGATGCCTCTTCCAATGATCCAGCCAGGATTGATATGTATGCCGAGGATACTGCAAAAAAGATTAATTTAAGTCCAATGTAAATTATCTTAATATCAGGAAAGGAATTCCATACTCGTTCTGCTAATTCAATGTATAATTGGTTACCCTTGGTAGATCGTCCCATACGCTCTCCCTCCAAGACCCATTGGGTCAATATTCGATCATCCTCAGCTGTAAAAGGCGTGCGCGTAGATTTCGCGGGTTGTGCGAATGGTCGTTCTGATGCTCGTTCTGATGCACCACATCGATATTCTTCCATGTCTACCAATTTCCCAGCCTTCGCAGACTCTTCAATAAACTTCCATGAAATAGATCCTGGCGGCGCATCTTTTCGCGCACCATCTGCGATTATAATCTCGGCATTCTTTTCGATTTTTTCGACTCCACCCCCGTTTGACTGTCGCAATAATTAACATGTCTCTTTCTCTTCCATTTAAAAGACGCTCTTACTCGAATTATCTCAACCCATCTTGAGCGCATAGGAACCCGCTGAAGAATAAAGAATTTCATTCCTTCAAAAAGAACTCCTCCACCCCCAATACCATCATATACAATAGAAGCCATGGCTTTCGCCTTTGCGACTGGAGAGGGGTTGTCGGTCGCAAGTCGTTTGAGGAGAGTAAATTTGATCGAAAGGGAAAATGTATTAAAGCAGATGTTTGAAAGAAGCGAGTGCCCTCAAAACATACATTGATTTTTATTGATTATCATTGATTGGCTCCATACAAGTAAATTCTGGTGTAAAGGATTGTTTCTTGTCGCAAATTATGTGATGTTAACCTTTAACATTAACCTTTGACGCGCTCAGAAAGCCAACACTCCGCGCGCGATCAGCTGATAACCCCTACAAATGATATCGGGCTTGGCAAAGATTATGTACCGAAGCAAAGGCTAACAACTTTGAAACTCTCGATGCTCACGTATACTTTGATATCATGAGTTTCTAGACTGTATTGGTTAATTTGCTTTCTTACCTTTACACTCATTTTCTAGAATACAGAAAATAATTAATTCTACTCAAATATGGGTAGTGTTCGGAATATTGCAATAGCTGTTCTGATCCTTTCTTTTTTCACATTCGTTGCTTTCTTCGGCAGGCTTCCAGCATTAAGGTATCACCGCTGTTAAATCTCCCTATGTTTCACACACTCACAACTTGACAGGAATACACCAATAGGTATTTTACATCGAGTAATATGGGTACATATTCCTCGTGGTTTTAGAGCTGCAGACGAGAGGTTGACCAGTGGTCGTCTCAGTGCTTCGGTGGGAAGGCTGGCTCATACATTATGGAATGATCGACATCCTGTTGTTATGGTAAGATTGGTTTTCTTTCAACTCGAGAGAGCATGAAGTCAAGTGACTCGTGTATCATTCATCGAGTAGCGTATGCATTCAAGTGATATGAATCGAATACATACAACCTATAACGAAAGATTGGCAATACACGACTTTCTTGTAGTTCGCGGTACGCTGTTTGTCCCTGAATCGCCGGAGTGAGGAGTCGTTAACCATGCTAACTGAGGTTAAGATATTCTTCATTCTTCTACTTTTCGTATCCGAGATTATGTTCTTGCCTTCAGCATGGTCATTTATGAGCACATCTCGCAAGATAAAAGCAATTGTTGCTTTGGCATTACCATACGTCTTCCTCTACCTAGCTGCTTCTCGTGATCCAGGATATGTTACACCTTCGAATCACGTCCATCAAATGAGTATTTATCCTTATGACTATACCATTTTTCATCCTGGAAATCTCTGTCGAACATGTCGTCTACTCAAACCTGCCAGATCCAAGCATTGTCATGTTTGTAAACGTTGCATCGCGAAATGCGATCACCATTGTGTCTTTATCAACAATTGCGTGGGTTACAACAACCACCATTGGTTTCTCCTCCTTCTTTTCACGACTGGAAATCTCACCACTTATGCTGTTTATATTGGAAACTCTATTCTTTCCACTTTCATTGTCGCCGTATATCCAGATTGGTCTTTTCTAGGATTCGGTTTTACCTGGTCTCGCTACTTCTCAATTTGGGGATGGGCACTACAAGAACATACCCAAATTGGTTCCATAACTCTCTTATGTTTCCTCATCACCCCCTTAGTCTATGGACTTTTTCTCTTTCACATATATTTAATTTGGTGCGGCACCACCACCAACGAAAGTCAGAAATGGTCCGATTGGGATATAGAGATGGGCGAGGGATATGTTTTCAAACGCGCTCTCTCCGAAAATCGAGAGAAAAATTTACGGATAGAACCACCATGGACACATTGGCCAGCAGAGAGTCAACAGATAGTCTTACGTACAGCCGATGGACAGGATCCTGTCGGAGCAATCGGAGATGGAGAATGGCAACGTGTATGGGGTTTGAGGGATGTTGAGAATTTATATGATATTGGGTTTGTAGATAATCTAAAAGATGTGTTTTTTGGGCATCAGGGTGTACATCATGTAGCAGATAGAGAGGCTGATGTGCCGTTGGAGACACCGAGGGGTAGAAGTTCAGAGCCATCGAGTGAGTAGTATTTATATAGATCGAGATGTACAATCATGATTTTCAATAATCCATAAGGCATGATTGTGTTTCTTACATTTATCTTTATAATCTTTCTAATCTACAAACTTCACGCCTTTCTCCCTTCTTACGTTAGTTCAATTCAATAAATTTACCTTACTTCGAAGTAGTCAACTCCTTAACGGCAGCTTATTTGAAGCTTTTTGAACAAACTCATTGTTATGACTTCCATGTCAATGGACACCAAATTTCACCTCAGATGCCTGGGTAGATTAAAAAAGTCAAATACTTCCAACCTTGAATCGTCAAGCATACCTCACCACACCCTACTCAAGAACAAACATCCCCCCCCCAATCATACGACCTACCCAAACGTCTCCCCGTCCTCCTCACTGTGCGAAACGCAATTTTCCCCGGAGGATACGGTTCATGAAACTGAATACTCCACTCGATATCCAATTTCGTCGGCGTAAATTGCCACACCGAACCGTATTGTTTTTCGGCCGCGAAGCTCGTAGACGTCATTGCGTAGAGGAAATTCGCCCAGGGAATTTCACTAGGGAGATCATTAAGAGATTGTTACCGGAAGAGAACTCTGAAGACTTTGATCGCTCGGGCTTTGGGTTTGAATGTTGGTTGAGAATCCGGAGTTGGAGTTGGAGTTGCCGCTGGAGCTGCTGCTGCTAATGGGGTTGGAGATTTGGTAGTAATCGCTGAACCGCGAGTTTTGGGCTTGGACTTTGGTTGTGGAGCAATGAATTTGGTAGTATCATCGGAGTCAAATTGTGGTATTGGAGATGCTTCGTCGCGACCAGTTCTTTCTTGGGGGTTAGTTTTTGGTACATTTATTGCCTCGACCCATTCGGGTATCCGCTCGAGCGAAGGCACGACGGTACAGATATGCTTTACAGCCTGGTTCAAAGTTTGACCAGTGTTTCTTTGGTACACCTCATCCGTTTTCTGCCAAAACCCATCCAGATTTTGTTCAGCTTTCCTCTTGCTCTCCCTGTTTTGTTCGTTTCTTCGTTTTTCAGACGGATAGTGAAAGCGGCCCTCGGCTGAAGACCCAAAGTCGGCTAAGCCAATACCTTTGACATTGATATGTATGCTGTCAAATAGCTCATGCCGTCGTTGAAAGTTTCGAAAGGTGGTCTTTATATAGGTTGGCTTGATACCCATAGAAACAAGCCCATGGAAAACATATCTCCAGATCATGATAGATATGCGAGATGAGTCTAAGGTCTGAGAGAAATAGTGTAACTAAAGCACCATGGGCATCAGAAACGACATTTTCAATTACGAGTTCCCAGAAAAGTGATTTATCAAGGCTCGAATGCTGATTCCCCAGCACATCCAGCAATTTCTCTGGCCTATGTTCGCTCCGTTCTCCTAGAAATTCGGCAAAATAACCAGTATCTTTCTTCAAGCCTCGAATGTGATTCTCAGCACTAGATCAAGTTATCCATTTTGTGTGACCGTTCAAATAGCTTTCATACCTGGGTGCAAATTCGGCGATGGAATTATACACAAGAAGCAGAAATACGACGATGAGATAATCTTGACATTCGAAAATAAGCTTGACGATCAAATTAACTAGTAGGCTTCGTATGCAGAATGGCGAGGGTGCTGTGCCTCGAGTGTGCATACCTGACCAACACATGATTATGGCGTTTTGTAACCATTTTGAAGGTGCCGGTGTATCGAACCAGCACGATAAATTCGCAAACTGTGTAGAAGAATTTGGGAATTTGTCAAAGTATCCCAGAAATCTGACTGCTAGTAATTATGCCTTTGAAGAATCTGCAACACCTACCTAAGCATTCAATGTTGTGTTTATCTTAGACCATAAGTTTTCTGAGACGAGAAGAAGACTGTGGCTCAAGTGTAGCAAAGCCACTTTAGTACCCCACACTAACCCTTTAGGGGCTAGGCATTATAGATTTTGATACTGCAAAAGTTCAACCTCATGCTGGTTCATATTTCTTCCCCATCGATGCTATCGCTTACACAGTGAGAGCTATTGGCTTGAGAATAGTATCTAATTTGTATGTATGTCAAGGGCATTATTGCTGTTTTTTTTCTAGTTTCCCATCAACGCTGGTGAACTGTGCTGGGAGGCCTCCAACGAGAGGAGGCCCCCCGGAAGTTCACCGTTTACTCACAGTCATGAATATTGTTTGCCGTTGACTCATGTGCGATCCAAGTGGAGAAAGCAATTCTGTGCCGTTGTTGATCTTTGATAATTGAACCCAGTTGATGTTCTTTAATTGGCTTCTTAGTCAAGCAGTGCATCTCAACACACACATTTGTATGTTTTATCAAAGCGACTAAGAGAAATCTGGGTTAGCACAGCTGAATACTCCCCTTTATTTTCCTTTCTCAATCATACCAAGTCGCTTTCATCAGGCAGGAACGCTTTTCTTAGTAGCTAGAATGACCCATTATACTCTTTAGTAATGAGATCATAATAGTTGAATACAAGTTTGTCTTCAATTTATATTGAAGCTCTATTATGACCACAACATATAAATATGGCGTCCCTCTGCTATTTTGTCTATCCATCCCCCTTCATCCTCTTCAACAAGCTCAACATTTACACTCGCCCTCACATTGCTCTCTGATCCGCAATCGTTCGTCATCAGAGCACATCTTCCATTAGCAGAATTTACCAAAGTTTATCATCTACGTCTCAAAAAAACTTCATCATGGCATCCACCGACATTCTCTCCCATACTCTTTCCTCCATCACATCCATCAAACTCGAAGAGATTTCAAGCCAGAGGTCTGCATTCGAGCATGGCAAGTCGGAACTTCTTAAGACCGTCTCAGATCAGCCCAAGCAAAGTGAGAAACTCCGCATCTTACTAGATCGTATTGAGAGTCTTGCTTCCATGGGAAAGCTCAAGGATAACAAATCCATCTCATTGTACAACATCCGACTCTTCCTTCAACAAGCTCAACATGACCCATCGGTTTCAGAAGGCCTCCTCAAAGATTGGCAAGAAAAACTTGAGAAGGAACTCGACGTCCATTCATTGAAATACGAATATGCTTCTTTATATGGTCGACTTGTCAATGAGTGGCTCTCAGCCTCGGAAGAGAAGACGGCGTCTGATGACGAATTTGAGAGCATTGGTCGAAAGGAGATGCATGAGCAGCGACAGAAATGGGAAGACTATGTTTTTAATCCTCTAGAAACTGATTCCGCTGCTATCGAATCATATCTTACCAAGCTTTTTACCTCAACATCGGACATCAAGACTGCTTGGGAGAAACTACGACTCCAGGCCGCCACCTTTGAAAAGGAGATGGAAAATCAAGTGCACTTTGACGAAAACTCCTTGAAATGGGTGATCAATGGCCTCCTACGCAGTGATCTTCTTACTGATGAAAAGCGCGCCATTCTTAAAGACTTTCAAAGCAATAAGGTCGTCCTCGCTGAAGTCGCCGACGTTCTAAATATGCGCATATCCTCAATAGACAAGTGGAAATGGGGCTCAGAGGGTACTCCTGTCGAACAACGCCGGCAAGTCAACGGTCGCTACCGATTTTATCATGACGAAGATCTTCTGCAATCCATTCTTCTTCGTTATCTCGGCGTTAAATGGTCCGTATTTTTCAAAGACAAGCTTACCGAATTTAAAAATTCCCACAATGTCTGGGCCAGCTCCACTACACAAGTTCCAAAAGCAGACAAACACAGACGCGAATACTTCTTTGGCCAAACTTGTAGCAATCAAGTCAACGTTGAAGCTACCCGAGAGAGCCATTTCAACTCTGAAATTTTCCTTGAACATCTACAACATTCTCCCGAGGAACAACGAGGCGGCTACGCCGACGACGACTCTGAATGCGAAACCGACACTCGCAAATCCCCTCAACAAATTACACAATCAGTCCTTCACACTTTGGCTACCGAAATAATAATGCAAACTCGTCTTGGCAACCCTGTGACGGTCGTTCGTTCCGATTTCGCTTGGTTTGGTCCTTCACTCTCTCATACAAGTATGTTCTCAGTTCTATCACATTTCGGTGTTTCCTCTAAATGGGTATCTTTCTTCCGCCGCGCTCTCGAAGCACCCATGGTCTTTCCTTCCGACGGACCATCCGCCCCTGTGCGTATCCGCAAACGTGGGACTCCAATTAGTGGCCCACTAAGTGACATGCTCGGCGAAACTGTTCTATTCTGTCTTGATTTCGCCATGAATAATAGAACCAATGGTGCACGTCTATACCGCCTACACGACGATATATGGTTCTGGGGTAGCGAATCAGTTTGCGTATCTGGGTGGAACGTCATGGAAGAGTTTGCAGCCCTCATGGGACTTGCCTTTAATACTGATAAAACAGGTTCCTGCACCGTCACTCGTCATCCTACCACTATCACCAAGGTTCCTTCATCTCTTCCTAAAGGACTTGTTCGTTGGAATTTCCTGTACCTGGATCCTCTCACTGGTCGATTCTTGATTGATCAAAAGCTAGTTGATAACCATATCAAAGAGTTAAGTCTTCAATTATACGCCTGCAAGTCTATATTCGATTGGATTCAAGCCTGGAACATCTACGGCTCCCGTTTCTTCACCACAAACTTCGGTCGACCGGCCCATTGTTTCGGACTCGCCCACGTGGAAGATATTCTCACGACGTTCTCCCGTATTCAAACCCAGCTCTTTTCCGAAACCGGTGGCTCCGTTACCTCAACTCTTAAATCTATGCTTCATGCTCGTTTTGGTGTGGAAAACATTCCAGAAGGCTACCTCTATTTTCCCATGTCCATGGGTGGTCTCGACCTCAAATCTCCTTTTGTACCACTCTATTTGATCCGCGATCAAGTTGAAGCTAATCCAGATAAAATAATGGATACTTTCTTCACCGAAGAGCGTCATAGTTACGAGCGCGCGAAAAAGCAATACGATGATGGCGACGTATGGTCAAGTCGTCCTCGACGTGATAAAGAGCTCGACCTTGAAGGCTTCCCCTTGTTTAAAGAATATACACAATATCGAGAACGCACATCGAGAGCGCTGCATAGTGCGTATGATCAGCTGATGAATGAACCAAGGGAGTGCGCGGTCGATATCATGGTGGGAAGAGTGGTGCAGGGGGGAAGATGGGAGACGAGAGGGATGACGAATTATCAGAAGTGGATTTTGCAGCTTTATGGGGCAGATATGGAGGAGAGGTTTGGGGGGATAAATGTTGTAGAGAAGGGATTACTTCCGACTGGGATGGTGGGAATGTTTAGGGAGAGTAGATTTAAGTGGCAAGGGTGAGGTTGAGTGATTGTGGTAAAGGAGATAATGGATGAGTTGAGAGGACTGAACGAGAAGACGCTTTTCACATATTTTGGGGATGGATTCAGAATAATAAGATATTCGTGATAAATACCACGATTTTGCAATTGAAGCTAAATTTACTTTGTTCTAATTCTCCCTCATCACTTTCTCTGCGTGTTTACTGAAGCACTTGGGTGTGAACAAATGATATCTCATGGCATGATCAAAGTGTAGCTATGAAAATTAAGCATGAATGTTTGTTTTTACGGACTCGCGAATACAGAGCGATGTCTCGCCGTATGTCATATATGCACTTCGCATAGACCCAGTGCTAACCACCGAATGTAAGACATTGACGTTCTCCCATGGCGCACAGGCTCAAGAGGAATATCAATCACCAGAATAGCAACAACAACCATGAGCAACTAATAGTCGGCCTTTTAAATGCCGACTACCTATTTTTAAGTTGGGGAAAGTAAGTTTCCCCGGAAAGCAAATAAGTGCCTCCACTAGTATTTTTGATAGGAAATGTATCACCACAACAGATCAACATAGAAAAGCTTTTTTCCACCACACAACAACCAATTCCTGTGTGATTTGAGGAAATTTCATACTATTGAATTCGGCACAGGTCAGATACCATGAAGATATTAGATTTTTCATAATAACTTCAAAGCCAAACGAATTGTATGGATGTTGATTGATCGAGGACGTCTGCTTTCCAGAGACACTTAATTTCCCCAACTCAACTGGGAAGGGGTCAGCCGTTAAGAGTTTCGATTGTTAGTTACCGGCGTTAAAGTGTAACGACACTGAGTTATGATGATACGAAACCCCTCATGACAATGCTTACTGTGCAATGTGCATTGTGCATTGTGCACTGTTGACACTAACGCCAAGGAGGATAAATATTCAAACGATAAATGGGGATCATCGGCGTTTATGCAGCCGAGCCGACAAGCACGCAGGGGCCGGATGGAGAGATGATGAAATGGCGTAAAAACGTAATCAACAAAATAAGGCAGCAAAACGGTCTGGCATTGAGGTCATTTTGAACCCGCCTCGAGTCCGTCTGGGGAAAATTCGGGAGCTCGGGAGATATGCGGATCAAGAGAAGTTTGGAGACAGTACGTATCAGATATGCAACGGATATATCATGGAATCGGTGACCGGATGAGTTGATACCAGATACCGAATAACAATGAAGATTGAAACGAAGAGGTGAAGAGGTGAAGAGGTGAAGAGGTGAAGAGGTGAAGAGGTGAAGAGGTGAAGACATGAAGACATGAAGACATGAAGACATGAAGAAACTTCAATTCATATTCATCCTATGCTTTCAATCATCTCATCACCTTCACCGCAAGAACAT